CCGTCGCCACGGCAACGGACGGGGCTACGGCGGGGCGCAGGCGACAAAAAACGCCGGGCGCGGTTCGGTGGGGGAAGGAGTGAGGCTTCCCTCCATAACAGCCGGGTGTGGGGTCTTCGATGGACTTGCAGGCACCCGGGGCCTGTGGGCCCAGTGAAGGCCTCACACCCGAGGCCTTGCAGGCCCAGCAAGGGACACACACCCGGAGGAAGCCGGGGTTAGTAACTTTGTTAATATATGTATTAGTTCAGATTATACACTGTGGTGTAACGAGGTAGTGGAATTTTACTGGAGACTTTGGTGTTGTTCACGCTGAAGCAAAACAAACGAAAGGACAGCCCGGCCCTGGAAATAAGGACCTTGCTTTGTGGAAGCTTTGAGCTGACCACAAAGGATAAAGGATACCCCTTGGCGACTGAGGTAACACCAGCCCCTCTGACATGGCTTTGAAACCCAGCATCTTCGGGTGTCATAGATCAGAAACTCCAGGGATGTCTGGATCAATAGAGAAGCAGAAAGAATGCTGGAAAAATATCATTGCTTTGCAAAGTTTTACTATGACTAGTAATCAGTAATGTGGGTGTTGGTGGTCAAAGTTGTGTTGCCCTTGAAGGTTTGAAGGGTATAAGAAACCTGTGCAAGACCACATTTAGGGTGCCCAGTTTACCTGGGACACATCATGCACAGGAACAAATATTTACCCTTGTAATTCTCTACTTTGCTTCCCAGCCTCTCTCCTCTGTCAACACGGTGGATTTTCATGATGAAGCATGGCCACCCCCGCCAGCCCAGCCTGCAGCCCTGCTGCCCCCAGGGTGGCTATTCCTGCTCCTCCAGCAAAGCAGCCGTGCCGATTCCCAGGAGCTGGCGAGCAGAGCTGGTGACAGTGCCGTCCGTGGGTGCATAAGGAGGTCTTTATGAACCGCCTGAGGTCTGTGCACAGTGGCTGCTTTGTGTGAGGGGCACTGGCACGGGCCGGCTGGACGCTCACCTAAGAAGGCTTCTGTGTGAGGAGGGAAGGGTGTCCTGGGGGCAGCATGTCCTTCACTTGCTGTCCCCAAAGGCCCTCATCACCTTTTCAACCTCCATCTGCCGGCAGCTCTCCCTGCACAGGGGTCTGGCTGTGCTGGTAGTGGCAGGGGGTGCCCAACGAGCGTGGAGGGCTGCACTTCTTTTGTCCTCACTGCCCACCCTCCTTGAGTCGGGAGCAGGGGAGCAGCTTGAGTGCTCAGTGGACCTTCAGCTTTGACCGCCTGTGCGGTTGGCTCCTGTCAGAGCTGTTGTGGAGGGAAGTCTTCTGGCTACAAGGAAGCACCAACCCTGGTTGCAGTCCCCCCATCACCTGGTGCCAGGGAGCCCCACTGCACCTTCCTGGCACCTGCCAAAGGGGCTGAGAACAAGCTTTGGCTGTGCAGGACATGCAGGGCAGCATGGTCAGCCCACCTCCCAGTCCTGCACTGGGGGTGTCTTCAGCGTGGTCCCCAGGAGCATTGGTTCTGGGAGGGACAGGGACACTGTGTGATCCTGGTGGACTTGACAGCTCTACCGGCACCCCGAGTTCTGCAAGGGGACCCTGCCATGACCACAGCCCACAGCTCTCTCCAGGAGCCTTGCCCCAGGAGCATGGGGCTGCTCCCACGCAGCAGGCACAGAGCAAGGAGGACACCCTTCCTAGAGCTGCTTTTCATTTATTAGAGGTTACAAGGTACAAGGAGCTGGACCTGCACGCCACATGCCGTCAGCTCACTCTGCTGTGCCCCTCCGTGTTCCATGCTGGCAGAGAGGAGGGGGGCTGGCAGAGGCAGACACCCCCAGGCTGGTCCCCCCATTGCCCACAGGGTTTTCCTTGCAGCCTTTGCAACGGGCACCGTTTCTGCCTTTGTCCTACCAGCCGTGAGCAAGCATTACAGGAGAGGGATGTCTCCAACAGGACAAGAACTGGGACCACTGAGCTGAACCTGCTCCATCACTTCCCAGGAGAGACCCTGGTTTGGCCCCACACCCACCTCCAAAGGGGATCAAAACTCGTATGGGGACACAAAGGCTGTGACCTTGAAGATGTGCTTCCCCAGGAGGACCTTGTGGGAGAACTCGCTCATCTCCAGCTCCACCTCCAGCGTGGCTGGTC